AAACTTGCATTTTGTACCCTTGACCTGACCTTGACCTGACCTCTGACCTACTTAAGCAAAAAAAATTGGACTCTTAAGATCCGCCTTGTTGAGAGCTTTCGATTGCCGTTTTCCCCGTCTTTCTACGACCATCGGTTCGGAAGTTAGACAGGGGGGGGGGGCAGAATCTGCCCCCCCCAGCAGGGCGCGTATGGCTGAATAGCCCAGCGGGGCGCGGGTTAAGCGACCTGGGTCTGAAATTTTCACAACATATGTAGAACAAATGTATAATAAGGTGTGCCAAAAACGGCGGGACTTCGCGCCGCCGTGTTTGGGACATTCGCGAAAAACCGCAGGAGGGGTGTTCAACCTCCCCAGCAAGGCGTGGGTGAGCCGGCATCGTGTTCCATTTTTCGAGACGAGTCAAATGAACTCGAATTTGACATTAAAAAGGCATTTTGAGAATTTGACCTAAGGTGAAGGTCATCACCTAACCGGTAAAGGTCATATTGCATATTAGTCGATCCGTATTGTCGAGAAAGAAAATATTATATAAGGTGTTTCATTGCTGTACCATATATCTATCACGTTATTGTCCAAATCCTACTGGAGTCCTTTTATGACCTGAGATGACCTCAGTAGCATAAAAGTGGTCACATCACGAGTGAAATTATCCGAGTAAATGTGCCATGTTTATCTGTATCCCGATGTTTCAGGGTGTTTTCGTTCTTCAGAGGAAGAGCATTTCAATTTTCTCCCATAAACCCAAGCCGTGCAAGGGGGGTGTTTTTACGCCCCCCCCCCCCACTAGGTTTTTCACGAATATTTCAAAAACGGCGTCGCGCAGCGCCACCGTTTTTACTTTGGATCAGTGAGTGAACTTGTATATATATTTTTTTTTTGCATACAATAAAGGTTGTATCTATCGAGCAACGTATATTTTACCGTTTCGGATTGGCATGGATGCCTATTTTTGGGAATAAAATGTCCGAAGCCTGAGATCGTTTCCTATTTCGTGCTAACTATTCATCAAGATCAAGGTGTTTTGATAAAAAACACTGGGCTGCAAGTTGGATTAATTAGATTTTATGAAAAATCAGCGAAACCTGTTTTTCATACTCGTATTTTGCAACTAATAAATCATGCATTAACCCGCGCGGGGCTGGGGGGTAAATTTTACCCACCCTCGCGAATTTTTGCAATAACTCAAAAACGGCGGCGCGCAGCGCCGCCAAACTTCCAGTACCTTTTTTACATCAATTTGACACGTTCCCTGAAAATTTGAGCGAAATCCGTCGGAAACTTTTTGAGAAATTGACGTTTTAGTGACGTCATGTTCGCCATTTTCGCCTCAAAAACGGCAAAATTTCAAACGCCGCTAACATCTTCATTTTTAAAGGAATCAAGACGTAACAAAAAAAGGTTATACGTAATTCTACTTTGTCTATCAAATGGCCGTCTCGGTTTTTTGAAAATTTTGGATTTTTTCCAAACTTTTTTTCAAAAAACTGCCTTTTTTGGGAAAATAATTATTAAATCAAAAATTTTGAGTGTATTGAAAAAACCGGAATATATGTCAGAGATGTGGTCTATGTACACTTACATACCAATTTTTAGAAGAATCGGTTAAAAAAAGTGGGAGTTATTAAAAATTTCATGACGTCACGACACACAAAAATTTTGAAAATGAGTTTTTTTTGGAAGTTCTAGACCTCGTACGGAAACAAAAATAGCATCATTCGATTCGCCGTGAAAAACTGCATCAGATAGACACCTTGTTAGGTCTTAACAACCAACTTCAAAATTTGACCTCACTTGACCTGACCTTGACCTGACCTCGACCTAACATTTATCCAGATGTGGTCCATATCACCTATTGAGTGTGCCCATTGAATTCTATGGATAAAATGACCCATAAAGCATGTGTCGCACATGCCCTTTTCTATATTTTGTTTTTGGTGATCTGACCTGACCTGACCTGACCTTGACCTTGACCTCTGAATGATATTGTATGCAGCGAATATTGTCTTGATAGCCTAAGAACACGTTTTGGGCAATCAGTCTCAGACTATTCTTCGGCAACTACGGTGCAAGGCCGATACTGTAGAAACTTGCAATTTGTACCCTTGACCTGACCTTGACCTTGATCTCAAGGCTCGAACTTTAAATTAAGGACATGTTTTTAGTTGTTCGTGATGAGATCTTCCGATTGGCGTTTGAATTTTCCAAATCGGACCATTAGTTCGGGAGATAACAGGGGGGGGGGGTAAAATTTACCCACCCCCAGCCCCGCGCGTTCGGCTGGAGACCCCAGCCCCGCGCGGGTTAACAATGACGTTATATTTTAGACTGATGCCCCATGGAAGGCAAGACTGGCAAAAACAGCCCCTTTCACTAGCTGACAATGGCGCCCCTCTCAAGGGAAAAAGTCGCCCCCTCGAGCACCATGCCCCCCCCCCTTCGAGCTGATTTCTGGCTACGCCACAGGCTCCCTGCACCTATACCCACGGCGGATACTGCGGTCCCTGCTATACCCAAGATTCTTACAGATAAGGTTGGGACGCCAGTCACGTGATCCTTTTTCTGCTTTTGCCAACCCTACTCACGATTTTCATAAGCCTTGATTTATTCCTTGCACGGAGGCGTTTGTAGTTATTTTAGATACAAAAACTAATTCAATGATATTTGAAATTAACAAACAGATTTTACTCGCAATCTCAAACAAAAATTGAATTTATTCGCGTTTCATGAATTTAATCAGCTGGCAACCATCACCCATCGCCCTCGATGTAGTCGAACTTGGCGCACTCAGATAGTGTTAGAAATTTGTGACGCTTACTTGTTGCTATGGCGACCGAGCGGTACCTACGATTTTCATTTGTCAACAAGTGCTTGCGGAGCTGCCGCTCACACTTTTGAACACAGTCTTTATGCGTCAGTTTGTTCTACGCGTCATATCTGAAACATGTTTCGTGAGGCTCCAAAACCATTCAATTCATCTCCTTCAAAAGAAGTTTTTGTAACATTTTCGATATGTTTTTGGGCTTAATTGCTAGCTCCATTCATCTTATCTTGCGTGAGGATAGTCATCACTCGGGGACCAGTCGTTGAAAGCAAGGAACAACGACGAGAAGAAGGTCTTGTAAAAAGTCGCAGCGATTGCATTGAGCATTAAATGAAAATATTTTTACCCCCCACCGCCTCAGGCGATCACGTGCTGTCACCCACCTGGCTATACCCACGGCGGATACTGCGCTCCCTGCACCTATAGGGTGTTCACTAAAAATTGACACAAACTTTGAATGGCTGCATATCAAAAGTGAAGCAAGCTATTACGATGCAACTTAGCATAGAGTAAAAGGGACGTTTTTTTCATTGCCGAACATAAAATTTCACGGATGTAATGAAAACAGTGGCGTTGGAGGTCGTTTTAAACAAGGACTACCAAAAGCCCATTGGCAGGCTTACCCAAAATAGCACGTCAATGGGAGAGTTTGGCACGTACAAATGCCAAATGAAAACTTAAAATGTCAAATTTAGTTACATACCGTACAGTGGGACGAAAGTTCTAGAGGGTGTGGGAGTCCGAAAAGCTGAAGTGGTGTAATTGTGAAGATATTGACCTGAGGAAGGGTCGGGGCCCCGAAAATGCACGTGGAGGGGCTTTTTGACACCTCACGGCGCAATGCTGCTGATCAGTAAGGCATTAACTGTGCCTAAGCGAAGAAGATATATCACACCTGAGACTAGGCTGAGTTACAACCGGCGCAAATGATTTCTCGAAGCGACTGGGAACAACATAAGGTCAGAGAAGTAAATATGCTATGGTCAAAAAAGGGACAAAAAATGCAGAAAAAAGTTTAACTATTTAAGGTAGAAAAATCATGTTTTTAGTTAAAGGGCGACAATTGACTAGACAATGGAGTGTTCTGTTGTGATGTGATCGATGATACAAGGGCTAACGTCCATTTAAGTGTCAGCATGCAAGCTAACGCTGGATGCCGTGGTGTATGTGTTATTTCAGAGAATATCATCAGTTCGACTTTATTCCTCCAGACTGGTCCTTTACAATACGATACTTTTTGAGCCAAGTGTATTATTAAGCACTAGAGGTTCATGCAGAACAACATATGTAACCACAAGGTGATTTTCTGGTCCGACCTCGCGCCAGCACACTAACCAAGGGGTGCCTTGAGGGCCCCGGCCGATGTAAAAATTTCCATTGGAACGAGACCCGATAACCCATTTTCCACGCCTGAAATTTAACAAATGAGTATCTAATGTGATTTGCCTAAGGTTATAACGTATGTTTGTGTCTTTCGATTTCATACAAAATATCAACTGGTTGCTCATTACCACCATCAACTGGCCAGCATCACGGTCCACTGGTGCCAGAGCTTGTGACAACACTTCCAAGGAAATGTCCAAAAAATGACCTATGGGGATCAGGCAAATCTGTTGACGCTCTAGGGCTTGCAGCAGATGCAATATGCATTACAACAATGCCTCGTTTGTTTAAATCGGTACATTTTTACCGAAGATACAGCCTGCTAAACTTTGTCTCAATTTTTAGTTAACACCCATTATGCTTACGCGGGATACTGCGGTCCCTGGTCCCATAGATACATACTGCGTCCCCTGGTCCCATACTTAAGCGGGGTACGGCGTTCCTGGCCTTAGTTACACATACGCCGGGTAGAGCGCTCCCTGTCTTATACTTACGCCGGGTATAGCGGTCCCTGGTCCTGTACTTACGCCGGGTAGACGCTTCCTGGTCCTGTACTTACGCCGGGTAGAGCGTTCCCTGTCCTATTACTTACGCGGGGTAGAGCGGTCTCTGGTGCTGTACTTACGCCGGTTAGAGTGGTCCCTGGTGCTGTATATACTTACGCCGGGTAGAGCGGTCCCTGGTCCTGTACTTACGCGGGGTAGAGCGCTCCCTGTTCCTGTACTTACGCCGGGTAGAGCGCTCCCTGGTGCTGTACTTACGCCGGGTAGAGCGCTTCCTGTCCTATACTTACGCCGGGTAGAGCGGTCCCTGGTGCTTGCAGTACAGCTGGTTGAGCCGCTGGACGCAGGGCAGGTCCGCCACTGAAAACGACCTCCCCCTGTCCACCATCAGTAGGGTCAGCGAGACGAGCAC